AAGATCAAAAAAAAGAAGTAGAATATTTTTATTTCATTTTAGAAAATCAAACTTATTTATTTATTTATTTTATATTTATAGGAAAAGACTGCCGCTCATAAAAATGAAGCATCTGAACCAGATGTTCTTGTTCAATATTCAAATAAAATCAAATCCCATTTAGGTACAGATGAAAATGAAGATAAAGATGGAAATAATGACGAATATGTTTATCCAAAAGCTTGTGGCAATTATAAAATAACTGGTATTAGAGATTTAACTGTTGGAATTGAAGCTGATTTTCGTGATGAAGGAAAAGATAAAAAACCAACATTACCATGTTCATCAGCAACACAAATGATAACATTTTATTTTGATAATGGAAGTGAAATAACAATACGTGCAAGTGGAACTGAACCAAAAATCAAATGGTATTCAGAAATAAGAAAAAAGAAAGGAAATAAACAAACATCACAAGATAACAATTCAAAAGATGATGATGAACAATTTCGTAAAGAAACAAAAGATGAACTTGATCAATTAGTTGATGCTGTTATCCAAGAATTTTTACAACCAAAACAAAATTCTCTTATTGAAAGAGAAACAACAGCGAAATAAATAAGCATTTCATTTTCACAAAACATTCCAATTTTTATTTTGCTTTTTGCTTTTTTCTTTTTCTTTAAAAGTTCATTCATTTGCAATATCACTTTTATTCTATATTAATAAGAGATTTTTACTTTTCAATAAAATAGATTATAGAACAGTTGCATCAAATCTTTCAAATTTTCAAAGAAAATAACAGTTCGAAAAACAAAACAAAACAACTATACAATATCTCACTTGATTATGAAATTTTATCAGATTTCTAATGTTAAACTCAGAGTATATCGATTGAGTTTCGGTTGAGGAAAATAACGAATCAGTATATTAATCATTGTCATTGTAACCGAAGAGATGTTTACAATTTTTTTCTCCTTTGAATTCTATTTGTTTTATATGAGAAATTGGAAAATTAATGAATAAAATTTTCATATAGATATCTTATTGAAATCGAAATGTTTATGAAAAGAAAAGAATAATTATTAAAATAACGACGAATATATTCTGGATAAATCTAAGTGATATAAATAAAACTTTTATTTTTCTTGTTCTCGTCTACTTTCATTTAAATCAGAATATTCCTTTTTTGATGATTTAACATAAATTTGTTTATTCTATTACGTGATGATATTGATTATATCTATTCTATTTCTTCCTCTTCTATGAAAATCATTGTTTTTTCCCTTTCTGTGTTTTGTTCGATTATGGATCTTATTTGATACACTTGGATATTTCCATATAAATGAATTCTCGTTAAATCTGTACGTATATATAGCTACCAATTCTTCACCATAAAATTTATACATAATTAACATTTATCCTTCCATATTCCACAAGAGAATTAATTATATCTTCAACTGCATCAAATTTAATCAATTCTTCGTGTAACATTCCTAGTTAGTGAATAGTATAAACTACTAATATAATTCGTTAAGTACGTTTATAATAATTATTTTTTATATAAAAATTCTTTTATATTTAGTATGGCGGCATTACCTTTTGTGCTTAGTGCTTTAGCAGTTAGTGGAGAAGATACTAAACATCTGTTGGATAGCTATAAGAAAACTCCATCTAATACACCGTATGATATTGCTATTCGTATAAATAGTCTTATTGTATTAGAAACATCTGGTTGGGAAATTTTACTTGGCGAAAATGCAAGAAATACTATTCCACAAAATCCAACAACATCTGAAAATAGTCGTGGCTCAGTTGTTACTGTTCTTGGTTTATGTAATCGCGGCAAATCCTTTTTAATTAATCAACTTTGTGATATAGTGTTACCAAATGGAAATTTAATTCATACAGAAGGTATTTCTATAACAGCATTAAAGAAAACATCTGAAAAGATTATTTTTATTGATACTGCTGGTGCGGATACAATGATACGAAAAGATAAACTTAAAGATCAAAATGCAACTGAAGGTCTTTTACAAGAAATAGCTCTTCATTTATGTTCAGTTATTGTTATTGTTGTTAATCGTTTAAGATCTACAGATCAAACATATATTGATCAAGTATTCACACATACAAAAAATTCTAATAAAAATAAAAATATAATTATTGTTCATAATTTCATGAATATTGAAACAACTGATGATGCAACAAAATTAATTGAAAAAGAAGTTAAAGCTCAGTTTGTAGCCAAAGAACATACTTTGACGATCCAGAATAAAAAAGTATATGAAAATATTAGAGTTTTTCGTTCGAAACATCTTGGTATAAATCTTCATCATTTTATTTTAACAAAACATGGATACCACGCAGCAACTATTTGAAATAATCAAAGTGTTAAGGGAATTTTAAATATTTTAGAAACAGATTATAACAATGAACGAGATCTTAATATAATTGATGAAATAATTCAATTTATTAATACAAAACTTCCACAATTATTTATAATAAATAATGAAAATGAAAATAATGTATATAATGGTAATCAATTGAAATATGAAGTACAAAAACATACTGAAAAACCATATATTGTACTTTCACAACGAAAAGACATGGAAGACCTAGAAGAAAATCCTTGCAAATTAACTTTATCATCAAAACTCGTTTATGATGATGCAGGCTATTTTATTGGTAATGATTCCATGTACAAAGGACAATGGCAACCTCGTTATAGATTATATGAAACTGATGATGATATTTATGCTATTATTGAACTTGCTGGATTGAAAAAAGAAGATATTAAAATAAAAGTTGGTGAAGAAGCTATTACTATTGAAGGTCATCAAGATGATTTTAAACAATTATTATCAAATACCGACACTCGTCAAGAAATAGTTCCTATTGGTCAATTTAAATTAGATATTCGATTTAATTGTCGAGTTGAACATAGAGAAGCCAAACTGGAACCTGTTGATGGATTATTTAAAATAAAATGTCCAAAAAATACAGCTACTGCTACATATTTATAATGAAAAACAACGAATTTTTTTATTGTGATCAATGAAAAAACTTAAAAACTATCTTTTATTTTATGTTCTTCCTTTGAGCTTTTTCTCGTAAATAAAATTCATTCGTCATATTTTTATTTGATTTTTCAAAATAATTCATCATGCATTGTTGATTGTTTTGTAATGGATTTCGGATTAGGAGAGATAGAAGAAAGTTTCGAATTTGAACAGTTGCTTTGATCTCCTAAAAATATTTTTAAACATACTTTTCTATTTTCTTTTCGACTGAATATTGGATATATAAACCGTAAAATCAATTCATATAAAAGAAAAACCGATTAATAGAATAGTAATATAAAATTTTATATTATTCATGTTCGGTAAAGAACATATCATTAATGCTCGTATTTAAAAAAGAAAATGCCGTGACCCGGGATCGAACCAGGGACCTTCAGATCTTCAGTCT